ATCTCATCCACTGTCATCCCCTTCTCCTCCCGCCTTCAATCTTCCCTAGCATCAGGGTCTTTTCCAGTAAGTTGGTTCTTCGCATCAGGTGGCCAAAGTATTGGAGTTTCCACTTCAGCATCAGTCCTTCCAATGAATATTCAGGATTGATTTCCTTTAGGATTGACTAGTTGGATCTCCTTGCAGTGTTTCCCATAAGCAGCTACACAGTGCCCTCTGGTGGCCCTGTGAGAAAGAGCAGGAGCACTGCAGGGCTCCATGGGTCTGTCTGCCAAACAGGCCAAGAATCAGTTGCCACCTTCACAGTCTTGCTATGAGAGTAAACCAAATTCTGCAAGTCTCAGTGTTTGGGGGGAGCGGTCTAATGGAAATCTTTGTCTTGACTATGACACAATACATCACTTTCCAACTGCAGAGTTTCAGAAAGTGATGGTTGAGCCCCTGAGTTAGGCCCTGGGACCACAACAGAGAATAGAGACGAGGTAGCCACCTCTTGGGACCTGCTGGGAAAGGTGGGAACCTGCTGGGTTGTATTGCTTGCCTATACCCCAGCTCTGTGTGTCTAGTGTAGAGATTAGTCTATCTAACCAAAGAATTTTCATAGCTTTCTTTTGATTATGTTAAGAAAATGTTTTAGAAATTTGGGAAACTATCATTCAAAATAGTCTGCATAATTTCACCTACAATTACATAGCATTTTAAAAAATGGGATTACCTGATACTACCGGTAACCTTTTCACTTCATATGAGCAATTATTGTATCCATTTATCAAGTTAAAAGATGTGAATTTAATAGTTGCAAATATTCCTTATGATACCTTGTATCACAGGACCTGTTTCTACTGTACCTGATGCCAGCTTCCTCTGAATATATCTTGTTCATCTCTGAAAGTGGAGTCCAGAACCTATCAGCTCCAGGCAACGTCCAAATCTAATATCATTCCTTGAATTTTCAAAGCAGGTTCTCTTATATCATTTCTGTTAGGACAGCAAGCCCTTCATACCATGTCTTCTCTCCTTTAAGAGCTCCTGCCAGACCAAGACACTGCTCAATCAATTCTCTGTCTGCTCTGTGCACAGTACAGATTGTATGGTAAATATTCAATAGAGATTTGAAACACCATAGGTCTAAATGAGTTACTTGTTATTGCTGATGTCATCCTAAAATTATAAATAAATTCCAGAAAACAATCAGTGTTACCTGAAGCAAAAGGACAGGGTACTGTCCACAAGGTTTGCAAGCTGGGGACACAAAATTCTTGCCTGTAACTGAAAGCACATTCCCGGGGCTGAAGGAAGGGAAGAACTTTTAAAAAGCAAAAGCCCCAGAATGCTCAGCTTGGAGACTTGTAAGGGGGTTAAATGGCCCTGTGCAGCCTAAGCACGAATCCTTGCAGCTGGACCGCAGTCTGCTGTGACTGGTGGTCAACAGAACTTCTCCTTCAGAGTGCTCACAGGTAGGACCCTTAGCAGAAGCAGAACTGTTCAGAGCTTTTGTTTGTGGTTTTCTAAGAACTCAGAGAACATTACTTAATCTCAGGTCTGTTATGACCGCATGACTCTGTTTTATTTGGGGTCTCTGATAGAATGGGTCCATTTTCTATGTTCTCTTAGGGAATTTCTCTCATTTTTCCTTTTCCTTGGGGGTTACTATTTTATTTTTACATGGACAAAGTTGATTTTCCATGAAAATTCACTGCCCTTCCTGGGGCACACCACTGGAAGACTTCCCAGCTTCTTCTGTGGCCACAGGACCATATCATGGACAGTGAAGTAGGAGAGAAACTGATGTTGCATGCTGGCCTATTATGACCTCCCACAGGCATTTCTCCACGTTGCTGCCCCTTCTGCTGATGGATACAGACGGGATGAGATCCTGGGATGGAAGAGGCCGAGGACAGGAGAAGTCTGGGTTCCTGAGTGACCACAGGAGGACGTGCAGTCTCCCCAGGGTGAGCGCCCACTCAGCGCTCTCATGTGGGAAACAGAGTAATGTGCTTCTGAAATTTTAAGTGAGTTGATAATTCAGCATAAACTGTTATACCCACAAAAATGTTAATCATAGGATGAACTTAAATAGCCATCATTCTAGTACATTTAAATAACAAAAGTAAATTTTGTACCATTAATAGTTTTAACATCCAGTTTAACCTTGTTAATTCTGACTCAGTCATTTGAACTCAGAGAACTTCAATTCCTCAACATTTCAAATTCTGAACTTAATAAAAACTGCAATAGGAATTATACTAATATTTGAAACACAGTGTAGAGAAAGTATTTTCAAGAGGAAACTTCAATAGATTTCAATTCCTTGATCTTGATTTGAAAACACAGCAGAGCAAACTATTTGTGGTTTATCCATATTTATTTCTAATTGAAAATATTTTACTTGGGATTCATTAAAAAAAATGACAGGTTTGTTAACCACATCACAGCTGAATGACTATAAATATCCTTTTTGGGAGATTCTTTAGTGATCAGTACTTGTATGTGGTTGACTGACTTGGGTCACATATCAGCTATCAGAAAAAATTAAAATGTTCTTTTCCTTTCATCAATTTTCAGTTAATAATACATTTGATCTCATGGAGTTTTATATGGTGTGGAATACTTCAACTACTAATGATTTCCCTAATGTTGCAAGAGGCCTTAAGATCAAAATTCTGGCATCCAGTCTATTACTTCGAAGACAGTGATTCAGTTTTGGTCCAGCTTTCGGAACATTTGCCCTCCAAGGCTCCACCACCCTCCCTTTCTGCCTAACTCAATAGAGAAGAAGATGTTCTCAGAGCTACTTACAAGGTTCAGGGAGATGAAAGCTACACAATGGATCTTGTCACCTGCCTAGGAATTGAAAGAATCTTTCCCATTCAAATATCCTGGTAAGGAACCACACTTCTAATTTCTTTGGGAGTCAAGAAACATCAAGGAAAGGAAGTCTGTGGTTGGTAAATGAACAAACGGCCAAACCATCTGAGAATCACTCCACCTCCTCCCCTTCCTCTGGGTGTTTGGTGTACAGAAAGAGCCCGTGGTCATCACCAGGTGGTTTTCCTTCTTTTTCCCTTAGAAGAGAAACTCAGTTTTATTGCAGACACCAATGCACCGAACTTAGTACTCGAATTTCTCTTGTGTACCTGTTGCCCATCTTTGAAATGTCTGCCATTATCTTCAACAGTGAAACAACGTACTTCCTAATTATCAGAGTCAGAACTGCAGGGTTTTAAAAAGTCATTCCTGACTGTTTCAAGGGAAAAATTTGCTAACTCAAGAAACAATTTTGATAGAGAAAGACAACCTATCTCTGTGTTACAAAGCATAGTACTTTGCACCAATCACTAGGTTTAATTAGATTGTTTTGAAGCCTCCTAAGTAGGTACCTCTTTCACTTTCATCAAGAGGCTTTTTAGTTCCTCTTCACTTTCTGCCATAACAGTGGTGTCATCTGCGTATCTGAGGTTATTGATATTTCTCCTGGCAATCTTGATTCCAGCTTGTGCTTCTTCCAGCCCAGAATTTCTCATGATGTACTCTGCATATAAGTTAAATAAGCACAGTGACAATATACAGCCTCGATGAATTCCTTTTCCTTTTTGGAACCAGTCTGTTGTTCCATGTCCAGTTCTAACTGTTGCTTCCTGACCTGCATACAGGTTTTTCAAGAGGCAGGTCAGGTTGTCTGGTATTTGATGAAAGTGAAAGAGGAGAGTGAAAAAGTGAGCTTAAAGCTCAACATTCAGAAAACTAAATCATGGCATCTGGTCCCATCATTTCATGGGAAATACATGGGGAAACAGTGGAAACAATGTCAGACTTTATTTTTGGGGGCTCCAAAATCACTGCAGATGGTGATTGCAGCCATGAAATTAAAAGATGCTTACTGCTTGGAAGGAAAGTTATGACCTATCTAGGTAGCATATTAAAAACAGAGACATTACTATGCCAACAAATGTACATCTAATCAAGGCTATGGTTTTTCCAGTGGTCATGTATGGATGTGAGAGCTGGACTGTGAAGAAAGCTGAGCGCCGAAAAGTTGATGCTTTTAAACTGTGGTGTTGGAGAACACTTTTGAGAGTCCCTTGGACTGCAAGGAGATACAACCAGTCCATCCTAAAGGAGATCAGTCCTGGGTGTTTGTTGGAAGGACTGGTGCTGAAGCTGAAACTCCAATACTTTGGCCACCTCATGCAAAGAGCTGACTCATTGGAAAAGACCCTGATGCTGGGATGGACTGGGGGCAGGAGGAAACGGGGATGACAGAGGACAAGATGGCTGGATGGCATCACCACTTGATGGACATGAGTTTGAGTAAACTCCAGGAGTTGGTGATGGACAGGGAGGCCTGCTGCAATTCATGAGGTGGTAAAGAGTCAGACATGACTGAGTGACTGAACTGAAGTGAACTGAAGTATGTACCAGCAAACAGCACATAAAAACCCACAGAACAAAACCCAAACTACTCTCAAACAAAATATGCATTTTCTGGAAAAAAAATCTGAGAATTCCCCTGGATTAGATATTCAAAATTGCAAAAGGGTGCACCACAATTTCATGAAATGAACATTTCTCTGGATTCCAAAGTCTTCCCTTCAAGCAAAATTTACCAAACAACAACTGAGCTCTTTGTAGATGCTAGAATTTGAAAATACTTTTGCATCTATGATTACTGTGCAGAAATAAAAATTTCAAAGTCTCCTTTAACTTAGAGTAATGCCATTTCTCAATGGTCTGTTGCTGGAAAAGATGAACAGAAACAAGAACAGACTGTTCAAAAAGCCCTCCATACGCAAAAACATTAAAAGGCGGGGAGTACTTTACTTGAAACTTTGCTTAGGTGTTAGCATGTCACGAATTACCCTCCTGGAAGCGCTAGCTGAGTTAGTCACAGTCAGTCAATAAAGGCCACAAACACTGAACATGAACGTGAACTTTAAACTTTTGTACCTGATCCTCCAGAAGGCTTTACGAAAGAGCATGGACTCCCACCTGAACACCCGCTACCGGCGGCCAGCGAACAGGATCCCTGAGCTGTGCGCCCACACCACCTGCGCGCATTCCGGGAGCAGAGATCCCTTCACACCTGCGGACCCACCGCGTCCAAAGCACATGAGGCGGCCCAAGTTTCGTGCTCCTTGGTGGCACCTCCCTGTCCTGGATCCACGCGCCCGCAGAGACAAGGCCCAGGCAGCGTCCGCAGACCCAGAGTCCATCCCCTGCGGTCGTGGGGCAGCCCCGCCGAGTGGAGACTCGAGAGGCGCCGGGCAGGGAAGGTTGCAAGCGTACCGGGTGCCCACCACTCTACGACCACCCTGAGGCCCCGGCCCAGCGTCCTCACCCTGCGGCCGGTGGCCGCGGCTGGTGGCGGCGACCCCGGAGCCAAGGACCGAGCATGCCTCGAGCTCCTCTGGGCTGGAGGAGTCAGGGGCCGTTGGCCATTAGGCAGGCGGGGGCAGGCGGGGGCACGTGGTGAGGGGCTGCAGATAGAGTTGCACTTACTCGAGTCTGCGATGCTCCCCAGTCTGGGGCATTTCGCAGTGGGGACCGACCCAGTCTCCAACTTCCCTTCCCTCAGGACCGGTCCTGGGAGCTCAGGCGTCCCTGTGCCTCCGCCCTCGCACTTATGGCTGCTCACACCTGAGCACTTGCACCTGCAGCCGCTCACACCTGCGCCCTTGCTCCAGGGCCGGTGGGGGCGGGGAGGGTCTTCTGTCAGCCTCAGGACTCCTGGCTGGAATATCCTTATTTTACATTTCCTTAAAATGTTTGACTTGATATCAGTTTAAAAAAAAATAAATGTCAAGTTTTCTTTTCCTAATCATAATTTCATGACTGTAGATTCTGTCTTTGTAAGATTTCTTTAAGAATAACAATTTCTACTTGGTCAACTGAGTCAGAAAATAGGTACCAAAATTATATATCGCTTCTATAAATTTTCAGTCAATACGTTTTAGCCTGTGAAGTCTTATTTAGTGTGTGTGTGTGTGTGTGTGTGTGTGTTACTACTAATCAGCCTTGGCAGGGGCAGTCTTGAGATGAAGGGAGATTTAGGATCTCCTAGGCTAGGGCTGTCTCCCTGACACATGTTTTGCCATGGCAATCACAGGTCCTAAGCCCGCAGGATGTTTTGGACTGTGGAGGAGGTTCTCTGGCTGTGCGCACAAGCATGCACTGACACGCATCAGAGGAAGGGGCCGCAGGGAGTGGGCTCAGGCGAGGGGTGGACCGTGGGGCGGAAACAGTGACAGAAACGTGCATCATTTTTCCTTGGACTAAGGTAAAGGCCACCTTGTTGGACCTCATATGGAATCAAGGTCAGAACACCTGCACTGGCTGTGGTGAGGAGTCCTCAGAGGGAATTAGACACCCCACGGCTGAAGTGGACAAGAGGAGGCTGAGGTCCTCTTCAAGGGCCCTCTGAAAGCCCCCGGTTCCTGTGGATCCTGTCACATCCCCTCCTGGGGCCCAAGGAGTGTTGGTGACCTCAAGTCTCTCAGAGGTGTGGTTTGTGCTGTGGTTTCCCTGCTTGGTGTGTGGTATGAGTGGTTCCCGTCAAAGGGGTGATGTGTCCAGTACTGGGGCGAGGAGAGTGTCCCTTGCACTCCTACACATTCCCCTGCCCCTGACCTGGCCTATACCTCCTCCTATTAGCATCCGAGCTTCTCAGTGGAGGAATGGAGCCTCTTATCTATTCAATTACCACCTGTGTGCTGAGCATTCAGTGGGGGCTGTGATGAAAAGAAGCACCAGGGTCACAGTCTGGAGGGGGAAGAGGAGAAACACAGAAGGAAGCAAGTTCTATGTTGAAAAACAGTAGGTGCCACAATGTGGTCATGAGGGGCTGCACTGAGGGGACATGTCTGTCCCCAGCAGGGTAATGAGAGGATGCCAGCCATTCACACATCTGGGGATAATTATCCTAGAAGAAGGCACAAGTGTATGGACACACAGAATGTGTTTGTCCAGAGATGAAGCCAGAGAAAGCTAGTGTGGCTGGTGGGAGCTTGGGAGGACATTAGGGGACAGTGGGGGGGGGAGGGGCCAGGGCCTGAATGCTTGATGGCTGTGTGAGTGGTCCATTCTGTGTGACAACATTAGCCAATCTTGAGTGACTTAAGCAACAAACATTTATTATCTCACACAATCTGTGGACCAGGAATTGACCATGATTCACCTGGAGGCCTCTGCCAGTGTCTCCCTGGGGTCTAGGACTGTGAACTCATTGAGTCAGGACCCAAGAGCCCCTCTGTCATGGTCTCAATGCTAAACCACAGATGCCTCTTCGTATGGCAACAAGTAATATACAGGCTTGTTCCTTAGAGTGAGGGACCAGAAAGAAAGAAGGACGGAGAGAGAGGAAACTGTAATACAAATGAAGAAGTGGAAATTATACACCTAAATTCTGGGGATTGTCAAATGGTACTGCTGCTGCTGCTAAGTCGCGTCAGTCGTGTCTGACGCTGTGCGACCCCATAGGTGGGAGCCCGCCACGCTCCCCCGTTCCTGGGATTCTCCAGGCAAGAACACTGGGGTGGGTTGCCATTTCCTTCTCCAATGCATGAAAGTGAAAAGTGAAAGTGAAATCTCTCAGTCGTGTCTGACTCTCAGCGACACCATGGACTGCAGCCTACCAGGCTCCTCTGTCCATGGGATTTTCCAGGCAAGAGTACTGGAATGAGTCACCTGTGCCTTCTCTGTCAAATAGTTACAACTACTGTACATAACACTTCAGCAGTTTCTCAGAAGGACAAGCCTACAGTTTTCAGTCAATCCCCAAATCCCCCTCCTACATCAATACCCAAAAGCATGTGAATACACATATTCACATGCCTGTACACAAGTATTCAGAGCACCACTGTTCAGAAGAGCCCAAGGGTGAAAACTCTAAAGTCCATCAACATATGAAAGCCAAATGTGCTGGTTCCTGAATGGAATATTATTTAGCAGTTAAAATGTTCTCAAATAGACATTTAATAGGGTTATGTAACATTGTGAATGAACTTATTGTAATTTACATGAACAATCTAAGATAATCAAACTATAAAATTTTAAGTGAACTTTACATCATAAACAATTTAGTATACATTAAAAAAATATCAAAAATGGACTTGCTCTAACTCTGGAGCTCTGGTTGGCAGTAGAGGTGTAGTTGGCTCCAGGTCTGGAGAGGTTTCCAGAGCTTGTTCTGGAGCTGGTGCTGTAGTTCCAAACATCAATAGGACTGCTTTTCCAAGTGTCTCCCCAAAACAGAAAAGAAAGCTTCTCACTGCCACTCAATGATCTCTCAAAGATGGCAGCCCCAGAAAGTCTTCCCAGGCTGCAGTCCAGGACAATAGTGATCTGAGCTTCCTCATTGATCCTGGCCCAGATCCAGCCTCAGAAGTTTGTGCTCTGTGTGGTTCAGCCCCCCCCCCTTCCTTATTTGCTCCCATTACATCCCCCTCTGCCTCAGTGGGCTCCAGGGTCTCCAGCTGTGCCAGGAGATGTAGCGTTTGGTGCTCCAGGTCTGAGTTAGGCATGCTGAGCTCTATTTAAGCCAGTAGCATCCTCAGGCAGGGAAACTCTGGGGGCTGGTTGAAACCCTCAGGTTAATGGTACAGCTAGGTGCCCAGGATGGTGGACATGGCCCTGGGGGGAGTCAGGTGGGCAGAAGAGTCAGAGACCTGGCCTTCCTTCCACACTGAGATCCTGAGCAGCCCTGTGGGGTCTGGGACTTTTTGCCTTCTGCTCCTGCCCATTCAGAGGCCAGTTCTCCTCCATGCCACATCTCACTTGGTGGTTCTTTGGAAAACTGAGTCCCTCTCTCTTGATTCAAAGTTCCACTCACATTTTCAGCTGGTGTAGGGGTCTACTGTCCTCATCAGAGTAAGGGAGGATGCATCCATACGTAGAGGAGGCCAGGAAGGCATCACATGTGGACAGTACTTGCGACACGCCCAGATGTGATGGCCAGTGTGAGAGTGTGACCCCTGGGAGAACTGAAGCCCTGGAGGGCAGGACTGCTGTGCTCAATGTATTACAGGATGGTTGTTCCTAGAAAAGTGCCTATACCTTGTGGGCCTTCCTGTATATTTCAAGAATGAATGAGCCCAACCAGTGCCATCTGAGTGCCTGAGGCACTACTGATCACTCCCAGGGACCCCTGCTCACACCCACCCAGGACAGGGCAACTCTCACAACTCACCTTGCAAATGGGAATCAGTTTGGCCCAAGGTCAAAGGCCAGAGACAACTGAGACAGAGACTTCCTTGAGGGGAGGAGGAACATGATGACTAAGTAAAATCACAGTCCCTCCAGCAGACTTTTCCATGGGGCCAGGTCCCCAGAAAGCACTTTCCAGCTTTCCAGGAAGAACCCACTTAGTCCCCACATTCGTCCTGAGGTTTCGTTCTCCCTTTGCCCTTGTGTGCATAGGGACCAACTGGGGCTTAGAGAGGTGGAGAGATATTCCTGTGACTCCAGCTGGACTGGGACCAACTCCCCAGTGTGCCATAGGTGGAGGAAAGTGCTCACCTTTTGAAGAAGGTCCAGCACCTGCTTTATTCTTGTTGTTCAGTCACTTAGTCTGACATTTTGCAACCCTGTGGGTGACAGTACACTGGCTTTCCTGTGCTTCATTATCTCCTGGAGTTTGCTCAAACTCATGTTCATGGGGTGAGTGAAGCCATCCAACCCTCTCTTCCTCTGTTGTCCCCTTCTCCTCTTGCCTTCAATCTTTGCAGCATCAGAGTCTTTCCCAATGAGTTGGCTCTTTGCTTCCATCAGAATATTTTCCAATGAGCCAGCTCTTCCCACCAGGGAGCCAGAGTATTGGAGATTCAGCTTCACCATCAGTCCTTCCAATGAATATTCAGGACTGATTTCCTTTAGGGTTGACTGGTTTGATCTCCTTGCAGTCCAAGGGACTCTCAAGAGTCTTCTCCAACACCACAGCTCAAAAGCATAAATTCTTCATCACTCAGCCTTCTTTATGATCCAAATCTCACATCTATCCATAACTACTGGAAAAACCATAGCTTTGACTATATGGATCTTTGTTGGGAAAGTAACGTCTCAGCTTTTTATATGCTGTATAGGTTTGTCATAGCTTTTTTGCTTTTTATATGCTGTGTAGGTTTGTTATAGCTTTTTTCCCAAGGAGCAAGTGTCTTTTAACTTCATGGCTGCAGTCACCATCTGCAGTGATTTTGGATCCCAAGAAAATAAGGCCTGTCACTGTTTCCATTGTTTCCTCATTTATTTGCCATGAAGTGATATGACGAGATGCCCTGATCTTACTTTTTGAATGCTGAGTTTTAAGCCAGCTTTTCACTCTCCTCTTTCCCCTTCATCAAGAGGCTCTCTAGTTCTTCTTGGCTCTCTGCCATGAGGGTGGTGTCATCTGCATATCTGAGGTTATTGATATTTCTCCC